TTTTTTTGAGGAATGAATTCCAGGCAATGAATTTCCCTCGTAAAACTGTTTTCATTGTGTCCCATCAAGTATGTTAGTCACAGCAGTGAAAAAGTTGACTAAAACAGAGATGACTAAAACTAGCAAGAAAGTCTATGGAGAGGTATTAAAGTATGTAGGACTAGTGGTAAAGTCTATGGAAAGACCTGCCCACAGGATGTGAAGGTGATTTTGCTGTGACATCTATCCCCGCACTGATTGCCAGGGTTAACTTGGCAGGTCTCCCCTTCCTCTTTCATTGCTCCACGTGCATCCCTCCTGAAGCTGTATACTCATTCAAAGAGGAGGACCTTCCCTAATAGAGGAGGACTGTTCTTTAGTCAAGAGTTTATGAGTATCTGTACTCCCCTGCTAGAACCTCCAAACAAGCTCTCAAGAAAGACCTGTACTCAGAAGATAACTTAGATGTGAAGTAAGAAAGAGTTAGGACAAACTGAAACTTACATCTTTCTTGAATCTCCATCAACTTTGATGACATGGTGAAGTATAGGAAAATATGTTAAAAAGAAATACTAAAGATAAATATGAATACTTCACAATTATAAAATGTTAAATTCACAAGAAAAAATACAATTCTAAAGTTTTATGCACTAATTAACAGGACTTTAAATATATGAAGCAAAAGTTAAAAGAAATAAAAGAAACATACAGATCCACAGCAATAGTGAGAGATTTGAAGGTACCTCTTTTAGTGGTAGAAAAAGTACATATAAATATGCAAAATCCATAATGGTATAGAAAATGTAAACAACAAAATTAACTTATACCAAGTGGCATATTTAAAATGCTATAAACAGTAAATTAAAAATATGCCTTTTTTAAAGTATGCATAGAACATTTAAGAAACTTGACTGTGTCATTAACTCAAAGGTGAATTTTTCCACATCACATAGGTCTGAAATCATACAGAATATGTTCTCTGAATCCATTGCAATTAAGGTAATCTGGGTAAAACATGTATAACTAGAAAAATCTCTGTATTCTTGGAATTTTTTATGAATGACCTGGAAGTCCAGGTGAAAATCTCAAAGGAAGTTCAAAATTATTTTAAACTGAATTATATAGAGAACATTATATATAAAAATTTGTACAGCAATGTTTGGTGACACACACCTATAATTCCAGATGCTTGGGAGTATGAGGCAGGAAGATCACAAGTTCAAGACCAGCTTGGGCAATTTACCAAGACCCTGTCTCAAAACAAAAAGGTGTGAGATGTAGTGGCACAGTGCTTACCTAACATGCAAAAGACCCTGGGTTCAATCCTCAGTACCACCAAACAAACAAAAACAGAACAAAAACCTTATGTAGTTATTTATGGGCAAATATGTAGCTTTAAATACAAATATTTTAAAAGGCTAAAAATCAGCTATCTAACTATATCAAGAGTTTAGAGGAAAAAACAAACTAGACTCAAAGAAATTAGAAGTATGTCAGATTAGTGAAATTGTAAACAAATATATAGCAATGAAGATCAGAGCCACAAAGTTTTTGATAAAATTAATAAAATGGATTAACTCCCAGTTTCAGAGGTCTCAGTCTCTGGTCTGCCAACTTTATTGCTTTGGGCCCAAGGTGAGGTAGAACATCATAGTGGAAGGTCATCGTGGAGGAAAGCTACTCAGTTTATGACAGCAAGGAAGCAGAGAGAGAGAAGGAGGAGCCAAGGGGTCAAGATGTGATCCTAAAGGGCACACCCATCTCAGTGACCCACCTGCCTGTAGTTAGCACCCAGTATAGTTGTACATTCAATTGTTAATCAAATTGTTAATCAAATGGCTTAATCCACTAATTAGGTTGTGATTGTTGTAATCTAATCATTTCACTTTCTGCATTAACACAGGAGCTTTGGGGGAATACCTCACATTCAACTATAACACCATTTCATAAGACCAGCATAAGCTTAATAACAAAGTCTTTCAAAGAAATTAGGATAAAGAAAATCATATATCTATCCTCTAATAAAGTATCTGAAGAGGAATCCATTTACATGCTTTAGTTTTTATTTTAATCATAACTTCTCTAAATTCAAATCTTCAGCAATGCTGCCTCCAGGCACATAATGGGTTCAGAGTGGACTGAATGGCAAATAATTTCTCTAGGACTTTGTATGATTCAATATATTCTTCTCGGATTTACCTCATCTCAGGAAAAGATGGGAACTTATCCTAGGGCCCTGATCCTAGATCTTGAGTATGTATAAGATTTACTAGTAGAGGAGAAAAGGGGCCTCAAAGAAAAGAAAAAACAAAAACAAAAATATTTAGAGAGGAAGACATGGAGCATGTTAATAAATAATAGTCCATTTTCTACCTTGTGGGTATTACACAAAAAAATGTGGCATTACACAAAAAAAGTTCAGCAAGGGAAAGACTGTAGCTAGACCTGTATTCTTTGACCCTTTCATAGTCTAAAAAGGGAAAGTGATGACTAAAGGTTTCCGAGAAGGGGATGACCATCTTTATAAGTATGTTTTAAGACTGATTTGGGGGCTGGGGTTGTGGCTCAATGGTAGAGTGCTTGCCTAGCACTGGGTTGATCCTCAGCACCACATAAAAATAAATTAATAAAATAAAGGTTTTCATCCCCTTACAACTGAAAATTTTAAAAAAAATAATGAAAGATTTCCTTGAGGTTCCCATCTTCAGTGCTGTAACATTATTAATATGAATGAGAAAGTTGAGACAAGAAGAAATTTGATGATGTGTAGAGAGACATGATGAGAACTTGAGAGAGGCCTAATCATTTAGAAGAGGTAGGGACTTAATGTAGCTCTAGAGTCATTGAGTAGTTTAGGTTCTCTAGACCTAGGAATCTAAGCTTTGTGAACCTTGTTAACTGCTGCATCTCTTGTTTATTTATGCTGCTGGCTTATCACTAAGTATACCCACAAATTACAAATTAATTTATTCACTCAGAAGCATTTCATGAGTGACTTTTTTGTGTTTCAAATATTTTGCAAGGTCTTAATGAAAATATGTAAAAACTATCCTACACATAAGACAGTAAAATTTACTTTCTTGTGAATTATTTTAAATACTTAAGATATATAGGCATATAATATTTTTGAAATGTTAAGTGAATGGATTTTTGTTTTATTCAGTTGAATTAAATGAAGAAAAGCACAAGGAACTAATAGAGAAAAAGGAGATGGAAATATCAGAGTTAAATGCAAAATTAAGAACTCAAGAAAAGGAAAAACAAAGTGAAATAATCAAACTACAGCTAGAGGTAGGTATTTTAAAAGTCTACTGAACTTTAGGATATATTACTTAGTCTAAACAATACTTCAGTTATTGTTCATCACAGTGAGATAAATTTCAGAATTAAAAACACTTCTGTTTTTATGCTCATTCTTCACCAGAGGACCTGCTCAGTCAACATACAACCATCAGCCACACTGCCTGTCAACACTGGAGCTGAAGGTGGACTCTTTAGTTGTTCAGAAGATTCTTGTTTCCAGAGAGGATGTCATTTCCTCTGAGAGCGAGAACAGATAACTCAAAGACTACCAGCATTTTACAGTCAAATCTATATGAGCTTCATAAGACTGTCATTCCAGCCAGGGAGAGTGTTTTTAATCCTCAACATTACTCTCTCTCCAGAAGAAATTGTGGAAGTGTAGTAAACCAACTAGAAATTATTTTTGCTTTATCTGGATAAAAAGAGACAATTTTTTAAGTAACACCTGTTTTAGAGGCAAACAAATCTAATTCCTTTAAAAAAAAAATTAAGGAACTTCTAGTACAGCATCTCATAGACTGAGGCTCCAGCTCTTGTTCTGAAGCTAATCACATGTCAGAATCTCAAAAATCCTGATATTTTGACAAAATACCTGTCCTTTAATTTTGTTCTTTATATTTAACCAGTCTCCTTTCTATATTCTTCCATCTCATTATGCTTCCCCACTTCAACTCCCATTTTACTTCATGTTGTAAGAATGCAAAGATCTCCAGGTATGGTGGTTTTATGCCTTTAATCCCAGCAGCTCCGTAGGCTGAGGCAGAGAATCACAAGCTCAAGGCCAGCTTCAGCAACTTAGCAAGACCCTTTCTCAAAATAAAAAAAGATGGGATGTGGCTCAGTGTTTAAGTGTCCCTGGTATAAAAAAGATAGTTCATAGGTCTTAGTTAAAATATACTGCTTATTTTCCAGAAACTGGTATATTCCTGGGGTGCTTGATGAGGTAATATGTGTAATCATATGGCAGAAAGGGGACTCAGGTTGATTTTAGAAGTTCTTTGCTGATGCTGCTGGCTTATCACTAAGTATACCCACAAACAATAGAGAGGACGGATGGCCAACTGAAATAGAATAGGTCATGTTTCAAGATTCACCATTGACTTTTAAACTATCAGTTGGGAGTCTGTATTTTGTTTATTATCTAGGGTTTGTCATTAGTCTAGTTCAAGTATGCTGTTAACCTATGTATGGAACTATCATCTGTCTTTGTTGTAACTACATTTCTCCCCTCAAACCAGAACACAATTTTATTGAGAGTTTAGAAGTCCTCAGAGGCACAACACTAAATTAGAAAGGAAGAATTATAATGCAGTATTGTTCAAAACAAAATTGGTGTGTAAGAATGATCTATGAAAATTTTTAACCTGACTTTGTTTAATTTGAATGAATAAAAATTCAAAGTAAATCAATAAATTACATCCAAATTCTACTACTTATCTTCAGTTTCTAGAGAAGGACAAGTAAGGTTTCCTCCTATGACTCCTATAACACTACATTTTCTTGACAAAAGTACCCTTATGAGAATGTAAAAATATTTTTTCTATTTTTAACTTAAACTAGATTTTCAGCTCTGGTTGCATGATAGAATCAGCTGATGCTGACTGGGTATATAATTAAGTGATAGAGTGCTTGCCTAGCATGCACCAGGCCCTGGTTTCAAGCCACAATACTGAAAAAAAACACCTGATTTTGAGCAAAGAGAGTATGCTAGCTATACCCCAGAGTCTCTAAAATAGTGCCCAGGTATTTGGTACTTCCTAAAGTTTCACCAAATAATTTTTTAAATTTTTAAAATTTGTTTTAATTAGTTATACATGACAGTAGAATGCATTTATACACTTTAATGTATCATACATAAATGGATGGAGTTGGAGAATATCATGCTATGCGAAATAAACCAATCCCAAAAAATCAGAGGCTGACTGTTTTCTCTGATATTCGGATGCTAATTCACAATAAGGAGGTGGGCACTAGGGAAGAATAGAATTATTCCCCAAATAATTTTAATATGTAGTCAGGTTTAATCTTGTTTGGATTTTCTTTGCTCTTTCTTTAAAATTGTTTCCTAAAGATTTTTATGTTGTCATATAAAGAATGCACTTAAATTATAGAGTATGTGTCAAAGGATATTGTGAATTATATTTATAGAAACATTTAATTTTAGTTATTTAACTAGAATCTTCTCAATAACTTTTTTTTTTTAAATTTCATTCAGTTTGATGCCAAACTAGCAAGACTTCAGACCAAATCAAAATCATATACAGATGCTACTGTTTTGCCACAGAGTATCTACAGAAGGGTATGTGAGATTTTTATCCCATGACTATTATTTAAGAAAATTAATTTTCTTAATGTTTTTCTATAAAAGTTACCTAATATTAACCTAAATATATTTAATAGATTTTTTTATATCCTTATGCCAGTTTTACCCATTAAATCTCACAAAACTGAAGTTATAAGCTTTTCAAAATATCTTTTTAAATACAAGCTTAAACCAGAGTATAGTTTGTTTTTCATTTCTTGTTTTAAATTTTATTATTTCTGAATTGTAATGACAGTTTTTTTTCTGCTTCATTTAGAAGCTTCAGCATCTTCAAGAAGAAAAAAACAAGGAGATTGAAATTCTTCGTAATAACATTCGTGATTTAGAGCAGCGCCTTTCTGTTGAAAAAGATTCTCACCTTAAGCGTAGACGGTTTTGAGCACAACTATAAATTCCTTATTACTATTTAATTTATTTAAAGACAGTGGAAAATTTATTTCTATGTTCAGTATAAGCATACTGCCTAAATAATAAAATTAAAAACAACTTTAAACTTTTTTATTGAGTTTATTTAGACACATCCATATCTTAGCCATCTGCATACTACATTCTTGCTTAACAGTATTATCCATAAAGGAGTTCAAGTTTAGAGGGTTTAATTTCCCTATTAAACCATCATTGACTATGGAAATACTCTAGGAAGTCTAAAACATAGACAACATTCTTTTCTTTCCCATTTCGTCTTTCAAGACAGCCAAATAACTGTATAATACTCTTCAAATTCAGAAGAATATGATACAGTGTTAAAGAAAGAAAATAAGATACAAAGGCTTTATTTGTAGATGATAGTAAAAATCAAGATATGAGTATTAGATATAAAAAAAGTAAGAAGATATTAAAAATGTAGTCACATATATTTTCTTAGCAAAATAGTCATGTGTTAAGTATTTCTGGATCTTAAACAGAATCCACCTCTTTCTTTAAAGTTTTAATCAGTTAAAAATGTAAGATTAAAAGATAATATTATTTTGAGAGATAAGTAAAGAAAAGTGGAAAACATGTCTTTGTTGTTCTTCCTCCATTCTAATTTACTAACTATCCAACAGAAACCCCTAGGTCATAGTTTATGTTTCTGTTCTCATCAATGCAAATAGAATATAGGAAAAAGAAAAAGAAAGACATATTAACCAAAAGCTACAATCACTTTTCAGTTGCCTCCTAATAAAAATATTGTTTGGGTCAAAATTTCTATGGCATAAAATTTAAAATTTAGAAACCAGTATAGTAGATTTCTCTGTTTGCACATTATCCAATTCCTGGCTTTGGTTCACTAATTATTAATTATATGACTTGTAAAAATGCTGGAAATGAAATTGTGTCTAGACCGACTTGGGGAGTACATCTTATTTTAAACATTTAGTTTGAATGTCATTTTCACTTTTTTGCCTTATTTTTTCAGCTTCAACTGGTGCCAACTTCTGTGGGATCAAGCTGCTGACTTCTTTGTCAGGCAGCTGGAGGCATTCGTCACTGACAAGATTCAATGACATTCTCCTCTGCCCTAAGTCCCTGTCAGCTACATAAAGATGGGAGGTTTTCAGCACACTGTCAGGTGATTGCAGACTCTCTTTTTTCAAATATCAGATGTCGACAATGGCAGCAACAGCTACTAGAAGCTGCCTGTGGATCTTTGAACAACTTACACTGTAATTGATTTACACATCCCTTTTGGCAGAGTTTCCTTTGTGCAAGTGAAAGTTGTAAACCTTCACTTCCTGCCATCTGTCAGCTCTCTGAGTTACCCTGCCTATACTGGCCCTTGTGTTTTTTATGGTGATGAAGGTCTAGAGGAGCGGGGTTTGAAGGAGTATCTGCTGCTCCTGGTTGCTGATTCTCTGAAAGCTCACTGCTCCCAAGATGCTGATGGTTGTGATGGTGATGTGGTTGCAGAGCCTCAGTTGTTTTTTCCACAGTGAGCAAAGATACATTTCTACATAAGTCTTCATTTTCAAGAGTCTGTAACAAATTTGTAAATCACTTATCAATAAGCTTGCAAATTTAGCAAGAATGCATAAAAAAATATTTGTAGAACTGACACACATGGGATTCCAACTAGTTAATTAGGATAGAGCTGATTTTGTGTTTCTTGTTTTATATTAATGAAAAAGAGTCTAATGTTAGTCTCAACCCCTAGACTTTTTTTATTAAAAGCTTAAAGAGAAAGCCAAACTGTGTATAGCTGAGAAGTAAAATTAAGTAAACTGGCTAAAAGAACTTAAGTTTCTATGAAGTCAAAACAAATATCAAATCCTAAAATCAGTTGACCTACATGGAACCTTTTGCATCTGTGCCAACAATACATCTAATCTAACATTGTTTTCTGAAGCAAATTAGTTTTTCTTTGATAAGTAAAAAATGGCAACAAACTCTGCTCAAAAATTATAGTTTTCCATACTTCAGTGTATGGCAGGAAATGTTTTGACTTAACGAAAGCTTTGCCAATGTGTCTCTGCTATAGTTCTGTCAGGTGAAAATAGCAAGTGACTGCCTGTTTTTCACTGACCATTATAATTTTCCATTATGCATAATAGTTCTTTCATTTTTTGAAAAATTATTGTTTTGTGTACCCACAAACATACTTCAGGCCTATGGATATCACAGTGCAATATTAAACCTCAACCTAAAGTTGATTTGTAAAAATTACAAAATGAACTTGAGAACCCAGTGAATCACTAAGTGGTATGACAATGTTATGAAGTTACAAATTCCATTGAATTTTTAGTATATATCTACTAAAGGGTGTACTTTCTGGTTATATATGAATTACTTTTAAATGAGAACTATGTATTTGATTCTAAACTTATAAAGTTTAGTAAATGTTTAAAATAAGTGTTAAATGATTTGACAAACATAAATAGCAAATACTAATCTAGTTTCAGAAAATCTATTAATTACTGACTGATTCTACAGTGCATATTTTTTCACATTTTACTATTTCTGAAATTAGAGTATATCTTACTATTGATGGTGTTTTTAACATAGTGTTGTACTTTAATTGGCAGCATTTTTAAAGTATATCAAATAATGTTTATATAATTAATGACATCTAGGAAATAATGAAATAGAAAAACTCCTATCTCATTTGTCTATGGGATACATATAGTGTATTATTCTTATTTAAATGTTATTTATAAGGTTGAGTTGTGGTAGAGTGCTTGCTTAATATGCAAAAGGCCCTAGGTTTCATCCCAAGCATTCATAAATAAATAAATAAATTTCACAAATTTTAAGTATATTATAGGAATTGTTTTTGCTTTTTTTCTATATATCTAGGTATATTTATAACTATCAGACACTTGCACAAATACAAAATACAGAAATGATACCAAAATAGGAGAAATTTACGTATTTGGTATTTATTAATTAGCATAGATTAGACATTGAGTTAATATTTTATTTCCATTACCCAGTCTCCCCATCTTTAAAATCATAAAATAACTATCACAGGATTATTATGGTATACGAATGGATTAAAAAAGTGACAAATAATTAATTATCCTGTTGTACTCCTGACCAACTAAATTAAGTTGTTTGTTAAAATGAAAGGTGGTGGCTTTCTTTAGACCTGGGAAAAATCAAAGTACAACTCACAAATCAAATTCAGAATTGTTTTTAAACCTGAGTTCAAATTCTGCCAGTCTGCCCTATCAAGGAAACTTTGTATAGAATTATTTTCTGTTCAATAAGAGAGAAAATAATTCTAGTTAATATATTATTATTTATTCTTTTTGTTAAAATATTTAAATATAGTGTTTCTCATAACACTTTTAGGTAATGAGTGGAAAACTTACTCCACTTTCTATTAAATTAAATAATTAAAATTTCAGACTGGGAAGAGAGTATAAGTTCTTCACAGAAAAGCCGGTAATCTTTCATCCTCGATATAAGTAATCTTGCCTCAATTCCTTGACAGGTAATGCCATAGGTAAGCTTTGCTATCACTATGCTCTTATGTGAACATTTTCAGGTTACTACAATAATATTTTTGTATATGTTTCCTAAATTTTTTGAACATTTATACTCATGCAATATCATTTGATGGTAATTAAAATATGTGACCTACATTGATTGTTGTCTAAAACCCTTCTGGCTAAAGGCAGAATTATGGGTCTAAAAAAGATGTTTGAAAGTATGTGTTATATTTTACACAACAAAAAGTGTGCAAAACAATGTAATTACAAAATTATATTTTTAGTAAACCAGTAAATACGTTAATTAGCTAATTGATTATGAAACACTAACTTATTTTGATAAGCTCTTAAAAGATTTCCTCTTTTCTCCCAGTAAAAATAATCGAGAAAAATACCCTGAAAGAGCAGTTTCCACATCTGTCTTCACAGTAAGCAATCTTAATGGCATCTTCTACATATGGGGAAGTTAGGAAGGAGTAAGGCAAACCAAGATGATATACAAGATGGCCACATCTAGAAAAAAAGGACAAACATAATGTTATTACAATATTTTTTTGTATTGTGATACTACTCAAGCATATTTTGGCATTATAGGTTTCATGGTCTGAAACTTAAAATTCTTTACCTTCAGTAAATTTCTGTGGATTGGATCTACAAATGAACTCCCAGGCTCCATATACCAGATCAGGACTATAGTAAGTTTAATCTTAGCATTTATATATATTATTACTATTATTAAATTATACCAACATGTATAGTATAGTCTTTGTGACTTAGTCAAACATGATTTTATAATTGACATAAATTCTACAGAGCCCAAAACACTGACTTATAGATTAAGCTGTGCAAACCACATAAGGTTTTGCAACTGGTAGGGCAGCAAAAATTCTAAACCAGAAATCACAGTATAATAAAAAGATCTAGAATTTGCCATTAGCACATTTATTTAAAAATACATCTAATGCAACAAAAATTTCAGCACAATGAAGAACTCAAATCCTCAGAAATTGTGAGGTTCAAATATTTTTCTTGCCACATTTTACCCAGTAAGTATATAGGGCTTTATACAAACATCAAAGTATTATATTTTATAACTGTCTAAGTTAGAAGTTTAAAGGCCTAAAAGAAGGAAATGTAATATTGAAAAAGTATTTAATAAAAGACACATAGGGCTTAGGCCTAGTCAGTGGGTGGCTTATCAGACTCTGAAGAGCCAGAAGAAAACAAAGTACCCACTGAGAATATTTTTACAGCAGGTATTATATGCATTGAGTTTCTCTCAAAACATGACTGTCTTATTTGTTCATAAATTCAAATTAATATTTGTACAGATGATGCTTAAATGATTAGCACACTTTACAGTTCAGAAATGAAATGTGTTGTCTTAAAATTATAAATTAGAGATAAACAAGACTACAAAGTGTGGTTTTTCATATACACAATACTTAGAGTAGAATTGTGCCTGGTGTGCAAATGGATTCTTCTGTTTACTTAATCGGAATGCCAATTCATGGGGAAAATATATAGTCACTTCAACTTTACCTAGTTGAATGATGAACTCTTTTACATTGCCTTTCCTTGAAGAAAGCCATTTCAAACATATAGAAACCAACCCTTAAATGGGCCTATTTTGAAACTGGGTATTTGAAAATAAAACAAAATGAGGTATCTTATTGTAAAATCACTATTAAAGCAGAAAGAAAACAAGTAGGAATTGTTGCAAAAATCTAGAGTAACAGTCACGGAGGAAGTAACTTGAGGTAGTGATTATGAAGAAGAGATAAATATAGTGAGGATTTAGAGCCATAGAAAGTCACAACTGACCCAACATGGAAGGTTGGATAGAAGTCAGTAACCCATGCCTGTCACCATTTTCTGAAGGGCAGATGGAAGCAAAACTACCATACACAATGCTGTCTGTGATGTCCCATAACATATTAGATGATGGCTGGCAGAAGGAAGGAGTGGAAGCCATAATGCTCAACCACATCTTTCCCCAAAAACATCACTTTCTATAACTCTCACAAAGATTAAAGTAGAAGCAGGTTTTAGGAGAAGATAATTATCTTGAATTTAAGATATTTGTGAACATTTATTAAGTGGATATTCTAGTCTGGAGTTTAGTCATTGTGCTTGAGTTTTGTATATATTTGGGATCATCAGAATATAAGTTATAATTGTAGTCAAGGGATAGATGAAATTGCTCATGCAGAATGTGCAGACTGTGAGGAGAAAGAAATCTCAGTCATTCTTAATAACATAAACATGCACAGAAGAAACACAGGAGGAATGCCAGAGGAAGAATGAGGAGGAGGAAGAATGATATGGGGAAACCCGCAACGCAGAGTGTAACATCAGAAGATCAAAAGTTGAAACTATTTCAAAAACTGAAGATGTGGCTTTAATTTCTAAATGTTAAAAAAAAAAAGATTTTAGGAGAACTGAAATATGGCATTGTATTTAACAATAAATATTGTCATGTCTGGTATAAATAAATACATACAAAGGAAGTAGGTATATTTTAATTTGGGAGGTGTGAGTGTATACAGACCTGTCATATATGAGGAAGTCATCTTTGTATCCATTTAAGAGTGTCCAGACATCTGTTTGGTTTTCTTCTTGTTGATAAACAGGAATATGGTCTGAAACCTTATTTTTAAGATGTATGTAGTTTAATTGAGAAGAAATTCCTTGATGATTAACAACAATATAGGAAATATTAGAATATCCTTCTTTTTCCAATTTTATTCGCAGGTCTTCCAATCTAAAATATTTGGAGGAAAAATTCAGAAAATGATTTAATAGGATTAGTAGTTTCTTCTCTCTTCACACAGTTTTTTTTCCTGCAAAACTCTCCTTCTTACTATTTTGACTGACCCATATTTTTCATATTGCTATAAGATTCCAAAACTTTTATTTTTAGAATTATTTAAAAATTGTGCTTATTTAAAACTTATGCTAAATGCTTTCACAAACATTAGTCATTTAGTCTTCAGATTAACCTCATGAACTGACTATTTTTAAAATTTATCTTACAGACACAGAGATTCTGCTCTATAAATATTTGCAGAATAACCCTACAAATATTTTGATATAGATTTGCTAAATGACCCAACACCTTTGATAGAAAATGTAGTGTTTATTCTACTCTAGCAAAACACCCTTCTCTGCTGCTTATATTGGTAACTGACCCATTATCAGGTGTATGTTTTAGAACATTTTCATTACACAAACAACACATATTGAGTAGGAAGTTATAAAATGTAGGTCCACAAAAAGGAACAATATTCATAATGCCAAGAAAGTCACTACCAAAAGTCACTACAAATATTTTGGTGTATATCCTCCTTGTCTTCTCTCTTCTAATTTATTAAACATATAAAGTTTTTCCAAAAATATGATTTAATAAACACATTGATCCCAGTTATGTTTTACTGTATGTACATATGCATGTGTTTATTTAATAGTTTTTCCCTAAAGATATCCTAAGCCAGGGCTGGGACTGTGGCTCAGCAGTAGAGCACTTGCCTTGCATGTGTGAGGCACTGAGTCTGATCTTCAGCACCACATAAAAATAAATCAACAAAATAAAGGTAGTGTGTGCATGTACAACTAAACATATATATATGTTTTTAGTTGTACTAGAACAGAGTACCTTCATATATATATTTATATATATATATACACACACACACACACACACATATATGTATATATATACATATATATATACACACACATATATATGTATATATATATTTTATTTTTAAAATATATATATATATTTTAAAAATAAACAAAAAGATATTCTAAACCACAAAAGACTACCTTACCTGGATGCCTGCAGAATGCACAGGTATCAGCTAGCTTGAAGAAGAGCAACCACAGTCACTGAACCATGGGAGTTCTGCATTGGATTTTGATCTCTTATGCTCCAGTCTGGGGGTTGCTTACAAATGAAGTTTTCACCCTGGCTCTCTGTTCCTCCATAGGGGAGAAAACAGAGAGCCAGGGCAAGTCCCAGGCTCCTCCACATTGCTGGGGTTGTCCTGTAAAAGAGAAAACCTGTAATCATCTTCATAGATAATGTAACATTCTAACTATGAATTATATAAATCCAGCAGGTATATCATTCTATTTCCTATAAATACCTAGCCTGTGGGTTTTGTCTTCATTTTGTTTGGCTCATTTTAATGAGCCTCCCTGCACCTCTTCTTCCTATAAAGAGGAAGGTATCAGCTAGAGGTGGGGGTGGGAGGCAGTTAAAGCACCAATTAGGTGTAGTGAGCTACTGTAGTAAAAATGCTATGGAAATTTGCCTGGTCAGGCAGCCAAGCACTTTCCTAGAAGATACACGTTTACACTGTGTTTAGACTGGTTTGTATAGCATTCTGCAAATACAATCTGAGTTTCATTTGAGATGCACTGAGTTCTGAAAGCTTCTTTCTGCTTTCTGACAATCTAAGGAAGAGAAGGGTAAGTAGAGAATTCTACACAGAAATTAAAAAAAAAATTGAAAGAGATCTCAGGAAGAAAGTTGGCAGTGAGGGCAGTATACCAACGTGCATGTGGCTCATGTGAGCCTTTAGCTCTTCAAGTTCAAACCTTCCATGTTTATAAATACCTTGGTTATGACTCCCTTTTACTCCTTAATCCTTAAAGTATAGCTGTATGGTAATACTACAGGATTTGAATTTCTTCAGATATATGACTGTCTGCCATAATGTTACTATTAAAACCAAGGTAAATATAAAGGTAAAAATATTTGACCCAGATGAAAGTTTACAGATCATTGCTCCCTGTGCCTTTTAATACTCATTAAAACTATACTCAATTAGTCTATTTATTGGTTACACTACTTTCAGGAAGTTCCTGGGACTAGACAGCAAAAAAGATGCCCTCTGAGCTGAGAAGTTAAGATATTAAATGCCTGACCAGAAATATTCTCACAATTAGGGCCAGCCCTCTCAGCTAAGAGGTGACATCAACAACAAAAAAACTGGGTGTGAAGTAATGGGAAAATGGACATATTCAACAGAAATAAGCAAAGAAAATGCACACAGGTAATTCTAGTTTATTTTGATGTAAGACCCTATATACATGAGGGCAAAATTCCAAAACTAGGAAGTCAATGCAGTTTTAGGCACTGATCTACAATTAAAAAGCACTTTTTTTTTTATGGAGGAAGCTAACAATAAATAATCTTGAGTGAACCCAGAATTTTAAAAATGAGTAGAGGACTATGATGTAGCTCAGCGACAAATTGTTTGCCTTGCATTCACAAAGCCCTGGAGTCAATCCCCATTTCCAAAAACCAAAACAACAAAGAGTAGAACCTTTAAATCAGAATGATCTAGACTAGGCTCAGTCTGATGTACATCAGGCAGATATACTCTGAATTTTTAAATACTTGATCAACTTGGTGGAATGAGACAGACATTTTTACTCTCTGTACATGTATGCATGAATGGTGTGACTCTGCATCATGTATAACCAGAAAAATGAAAAGTTGTGCTCCATTTGTGTACAATGAGTCAAATGCATTCTGTTGTCATATATAACTAATTGGAACTATATATATATATATATATATATATATATATATATATATATATTTTTGCCTCTATATATATATTTTTTTGTTTTTTATATATATGTGTATATATATATATATATATATATATATATTCAAAAATCTTGATCAACTTTCACATTAAATAATGCCCCAAAATACCAACTTAGATATATCTTGATAAGACCCTAACTAATGAAGGACAGAATATAAATGACTTCAAGCCACCTCAATATTCTAATATTTTTTAGATTCTAATATTTTTTAAAAAGAAGATCTGTTTGAATTAAGACTGAAGAATTTAAGGTAGTATTTGCATGATAATACAGTTATCCTTGTAATCACTGTCACTTACTGAGCATTGCTAGAACTACACACACACCTTTTACATATCATGTTAGTTAACCCCAACAATCATGTCACCATTATCCCTTTTGCAGTTCAAGAAACTGGCTGAGAGAGTTTAGGTGTCTTATCTATAATCACAGGTGTTAAGTTACAGGAGAGACTGGATTCAAACCAGTTCTATCAAATCTGAAATGCGACCTTTTAGCTACTGCAACATATTGACAGTTTTTAGACAGATCACTTTGCAATAACTATAGCAGCTTGTTTGGTTTATGCCTAGAATGGCAACGAAAACATCAGAATAATTTAAGCTGTTTTATTTCTTAGTAGAATGACTAGATTTTCCCAGGTTTTTCTAGACAATAAATTCATGTGGGGCCCTGAGTTTGACCCCAACCACCAGAAAATAAAAAAAATTCAGTAGTTACAGAATATTCATTATAAAGATTGCACCTGATACTCACTTTGCCACAAAGCACAGAGTTTCAAATCACTTAATAACAGTTGTGAATGAAAAGATGATTTTTTCCTCATTGGGTTTCTAATGAAAAAATAAGCCATTGGCAGAGGGTGGTGGATTAAAGAAATCTTACTTTATGATCTCCCTGTCTTTTCCATCAGTAGGCTGTTCAATTTTGTTTGCTTAAAATAATTTTACATAATAAAATTTTTATTTTAATTGTAATTGTCAGTTGACTATGTAAAAATAATGAGGATAAATAAATAACAAAATTGGATTCACTGAAAACTGACCCAATAAAAAGTGGGAAGTAGTTGTAAATTTCAGATCAATTTTCAATCACAAAACCTGGAATTAGTTCTCCATATGCAGACCTACATTTGTTTAAAATTCCCCACTAAAAGGATATGCAGCTACTTTCTCCATTCTCTCCTTCTGAACTTCAGAACAGCATCTGAAATCCCCCCGCCTTTACCTGAAGGCTTCCATTCTCCTCTACTTAACCTGCAAAACTTTGAATTTACTCACAGACCCCTGATTGAAACATGACTTAATTCCTTTAACAATGACGCTACTTCTGCACTGTGAATGGAGCCTATTCTTGTCTCTCTACTCCCTTATCTTTTTCTTTTTTCTGAAACTGTTCTCAATATCCTTATAATGCTGTAGAATGAGCACATTTCTAACTGCTCTTCAAATCCACATTTTAAGCCCTGTTTTTTTTTTTCTCACTCTGCATTTTGGTGGGAAATATTTGAATCTGATCATATGACATTGCCTACTGAACATCCCAGACTCCGCAGAGTGAAAGTGCTAGGTTTCTGGTTCTTCCTCTGTGCTCAGCTGTGCAGAGCAGAAATCAACAAGAAAGCCCACACTGTGTCCCCCAGGAACTTCACCTACCACACCCAAATTTAGACTCTTGTTCCTTTTCTTTTTTATAATGTTTATTTCCTTTAACTAACATTTTTTAAAGTCAATTCTAAGGGGGGAAAATGCACTTTATCAGACTCAAAAAGTATTTCCCAAACTCTAAAAGAATCAATTATTGGAAAACACAAAGTTCCTACTTACGCAACCCCTTCTGACAAGACAAGTCTGTTTCCTTTCTCTTTGCTTCCCAGCTCCACAAAGCCACAGCAAGAAACTCTGATATTTATAGCCCTGTTGTTTACCTCACCCCTCAGCTATGGTTCAAAGTTCAATGCAATCTCTCAGTGCTGTGACCTTGCAAGCACAGCAAAGCCCCCAAACGGATTAAGATTATTATCTAACTTTTTAAAAAAGTGGCAGGTGCTGTCGTACATAAAGAGGAACAGGTTTGACACTTACTAATTCCTTCCCTGCTCTTTTCAGTCACCCCAGTATCTAGGATGTAATGGTACAGTCGGGGGCGGGAGGAAGGACTAAGGGTGGAGAAGACCTCCCAAGTCCTGTTCTTTGCCAAACTTCAACAGGGAAAAACATTTGCTGAGCCAACAAGTTGTGCTGCTGCTTTATAAAATAAAAAAAAATTTTTTTTCCATTCCTATTCTTTTGGGTGACAAGGTGCTAACTTAGTCCACACACTGTGAACTTAGAACACTCACCTGCTCTTTCAAAGAGTTCTGGTCTCTCACTGTTACAGATGCTGTTAAAGACCAGTGTAGACTGTTTTGCTGTGTTTTAAACTTGGATCATTATGAGATCTAGGAAGACCTCTGCTCTTATTTTGATGTTGTTGTTTTGTTTGTTTTTGCATTTACAAAGAAAAAGAAAAAGAAAAAATATCCTATCTGAAGAAAACCAAGCCCCATTTTAACACAAAAGTCCTACTCCCTGGTGGGTAGATATGATCAAAGCACTGTTATATGCATATATGGACATATCACAATGGCATTCATTAATCCATATAATTAATAACTGTTTGTAATTAATAACTGTTGATAATTACAATTTTTTCAAAAGAATCCTTACTCTCTGAAAGATCTATGTGTCCCATGGAGTTTTTAAAGAATCTAATGTGAAATCTTTACAAATACAAGTTTCCTACAAAAAAAAAAAAGGGAAAATTTCTCCTCTTTCAGGAAGGGAAACCTCATTCCAGCAACCATTATAAGCTGACACATTTGAGTGAGGTAGAGATAGGGTCCCCCAGTTTCCCTCACTTTTGTCCTGATTGAAAATTACAGAATGGCTTGAACACTCTAAGACCTCCAGCCAGCTACAGTGTTTTCTTTATAGGCTGAAGCCCAAGCCAACACCTTGAACATTCCCAGCCACTAATAAATGTATTCAGATTGTTCGAAAAACACTGAAAGAAATTGGCACCCAGTCCTGAGCCAAAATTTCTCATATTAACTCTGACCCCTTTACTGCCGACATAGCTAAGTAAAACACCTTTTCACTCACTGTTCCTTGCGAGGATAAGCTGCAGCATTGATAAATGTAAAAGCTTTGGACTAATCACCCTGGAGTTTAGTGCTTCTTACAGTTTGGGGCACTCATTTGTGGGAATTTCCCTCTCACCTCTCACTGCTTTTAAGGTGACTCCAGTTTATTGGTTTAGCAGGACAAGGCACAGTGATAGATGATGTCATCTCTAGAGAGTGACAGTTTTCAAGTAAGCCTTGCTTTTACTATCAATGCATTTTGTCCAAACAGACCCCTATTGATTGCCATCTGCTGGATAGCTATTGTACAAGATGCAGAAAATACAAAGAAGCTCAGATGTTGTCCTTCCTATAAAGAAACTTCATATCAAATTAGATGCCATTTTTTAAAAAGCTCAATTCTGTTTTCTTTCACCAAGCAGCAGTTATTAGCCTTTTGGGGTCTTGTCCCTTTAAGAATCCAAGCGAAATAAACGAAACTCAGGAAATCAATGCTTGTATGTTTTCTCTCATGTGCGGAAGAAAGGGGGAAAGGGTGTGAGAAAGATGTGTGGGGAGTCATATGAAAATAGAAGGGACACTAGTAGAATAGAGGAACCCCTTCCTCTATTTCTTCCTACCAGGGGTAGAGAGAAAGGGAGAGAGAAGGGAATTAAATTGATCAAATTATATTGGTATATTGTATGCATGTACAAATATGTAACAGCAAATCCACTATTATATATAACTACAATGCAGTAATATAAAGTTATTAATGAAAAAATTTCAATTAAAACCCTAATTTCTCCTCAGAAAAACTGAACATATACAAACTCAATTTTTAAAGAAGCTCATTTAAAAAAAATCTTTGTATGAAGCAGATAGTCTTCTCTGTAGTTCATTTTCTTGAGAAATTTAAATAGTCATATTGGTCTATCTGCTGCAGGAAAGCAAGTATTTCACCATCCCTTTCCTTTGCATCCAGCTTAGCAGCTGCCTCCTGCCCCAGAAGGACTCCTGCCAAGTGTGCAGCTGGCTCCAAAGAAGAGTACCCAAGAGTGTATGTGTGTATGTGTCCAGGATTGGGTATGACTAAAACCCCAAAGTGCAAAAGAGAAAGGAAACTTGCAAGATTTGAAAGGAATTCATTCTTAGCTTCTTCTATGCTGGGTGACCTAGAACCATTCAACGTTTTTAAGAAAGCAGAGTTTTCAAGCAAACATTGATCGGATATTAAATCAAATTCCATTAAACAAACAAGTTCTTATTGGCTGCTTATGTAAGATGCAATTCTAATTTGGGGACTACAGAAATTTAAAAATAAACAGTAAAAAATTCTATATCCTTTGTTGCCCAGGACCTCAAATCTCCTAGAGTAGACAGACAAGTAAGCAGGAAAAAAAATCAGACTGAAGGGTGATTGTGTCTAGGATGCCTATAAGTATGGATTCTGTTGGAACCTTCAACATGAGAAAAAGGAACATTGAACCCAGATGGAGATAGAGTGGGTGTAATAAGGTTGGCATATACTGAAGCAAGTTCAACAGTTACTTTATCTTGGATTTTACAAACCTGCACAGCACCCAGCAAGACTGACCAAGGCACTGTCTAGTTAGTTCTCGATTGCTGCAATAATTTTGAATGACTATAACTTCCTCATAGGTTGCTGCCGCCGCCATCGGCACTTAATCAGACATTAAGATTACTCAGTGCAACTGATAGACTCTCAAGTGTGACTTTGTCCTAAGGATCTCATCTGTTACAACTTCCAATCCTGGAGTCATGACTTAGAGCCTTCTTCCTGTGCCACTCTTCTACTCCTTACCATTTGTCCCCAGAATTCTTATGCCTATATTTAAGCCTTTTTAAAAAATAAGCATTCTCATGCTTTTATGAACAATAGGTAATTTTATAGAGAACAGGGCCCAGAGAATCCGTGAATCCATGATATAAGAGACAAGGGCTATAAACCATGATTTTATAATCAAATTATTAGCTAGAGCAGATGAGAATATGGCATCCCTCCATTAATTAACACTTATGAAACACTGATATCTCAAAATATTAGAAAGTAGAAGAGTATTATTATTATACAAAGCACCCATGTAAAACATTAACCTCTTTGGTTTAAGTGGTGTTTTAATATACAAAGGGAAATGAGGACTTTTCCAACAGAGAAATAATGCCTTTGGACTTAAATGATCTTTTCTTCCCTTTGCATGTACCAAAAGCTGCCCTAAATATCATTCTATGAGTGGTACCAAATATAGTATTGTTTTAACATCTATACTGAAAGATTGTAAGCCTCTGGAAATCAAAAGGATGCTTAAGAAAAAATAAAGTTTTAGGGTTTTTGATGCTGGGGATTGAACCCAGGGCCTCATGCATACTAGGCAAGCACTCCACCACTAAACCATATACCTAGCCCCAAAGCAAGATTTTAAGAAGCAAACAAGATAAATAAGAACAATGGCCAGAGGAAGACATGGAAACAGAAGCTTGGATGAGATAAGACCTAGTTGGATTCTTTGAGATTCAAATGAGACTGAAGTATGCTTTGAAGAGATTTTTCCTTAAGTTCACAAGTTTACAGATATTCAGATCCTTTGATATATCAAATAAATGCAATTAGCTGGACATACTGTGCCAAATTTCACATTGTACTGAGCACTTTCAGAGAATAACAAACATCAAAAGAACTTTTGTTTGAAAAAAATCTGTAAATAATTTTTTAAAGATCTTACCAAAACCAATGCTCAGGCCTGCAGCTCCTCATGAGTTGGTATCAACATTGACATGTGAAAAGCATGGCCCCCAAAATAGCATTTGTACCCTGAATGAATGGAATATCCACACAGGATAAGGTCAGGGAGTTTGGTATCAGAAGAATAATGTGGAATTATGGACTAGTCAAATACCTGGATGGCCTAGCAATTGGCATTTAGCTGCTCAACGGGGCAGGGTAGGAAGGACAGAGGTAGTTTCCACTGGACAGGGAATGGAACACATCACAGCTGTTCTCAGGGCCACAGAAGGGTCGGGATGGGAGCCTGAATCACAACAGTAGGGAGATTCACTAATCTTGTTGGTGAATTATTGATTTCAAATAAATATTTGGAGAAAGAATGAGTAAATGAATGATGAATTTTTTTTGTGAGACTTAAGAACTAAGTCTGAATTCTGAAATAACAAAATTCTTTGTAACCCAGAGACTGAGTTAACTCAGTTAAGTAAATCATTTACTAGTCTCTATCTTGATATTATATTTATCTTAAATATTTGCCATAGTCAGAATTAGCATAGCGCATCGAAGCTCAAGTGAACATTCAATTTCTCACATATCAAATATATGAGTAGATCTCACTGGTAATGTCTTAGAACTGCCGCTAATAACCATTTATTCCCATCTTCCTTAAAACTTAGAGAGCTTTCAGTTGTACTTCTAACACATTATCCAGTTTACACAGAGGCCAGGTTTAAATAAGTGAACTTTTTTTCTGGAACTGTTCCTCTCATCTCAATGAATACTTCAAGATAATCTGTATTAATTTTGGGGGGGGTCTTAATTTGCCACACCTTTTACATGTGTGTATACTACTAAAAAGAAAAGTCTTCCAGGACTTGTGCTGATAATTTCTCAAATCTTAGGAATGTTTTGGTAAAATCTTCAGACAAATCTTAAGAATTTTCTAACAGAAAAACCAATTGAACATAATACGTAAGTTTAGGCAAGGTAGTTTTACAGTATGTTCAAATAAAACAATTTAACATTTTAACAGAAAAGATGGCCTTAATTTGTATCTCAAACTGATTGAAAAAGTATATACTGAATATAAATAAATATGATCATTCTCTATGCACTTCTCCATATCTATCTATG